CGGGGAGCGAGCGGAGAGCCCGAGAGAGCGGCCAGGACGAGGGGCCGGAGAGAGATAACTAGACAGAGGAACGCGTGCAACTACAGAGGGAGAGAAAGAGGCGGAGGGGGTGTGACAGGCAAGGCGATAAAACCAGAGGTGGACTCGGAGCACAAAAACGAAGAGCCAGACAGAGAAATACTGCACGGGAGAGGCGGAGAGCGGCACACGACGACAGGGAGACCTGGATAGCTGGAGATAAAGTGATGACACAGAAACAGAAAAGCAGGGAAGGCGGGAGGAAAGGCAGAGTGAGCCCCCACCCACTCCCATCCCTCCGGAGAAATCACAGATGCTGTGGCTGGAAGGGCCCTTGGGCCTTGCTGTTCTGACCTTTCACATGTGGGTGGGGAAACTGAGGCACAGAGAGGTCACGTCACATGCAAAGGCACACAGTGAGTTAGTGCCAGCACCGGGACTCAGCCAAGCTTTCCCTCCCCCCAGGCCACAGCCCCTGCTCTGCGCCAGGCTGCTGGCTGTCTTAGAAACAGGAGAGCACAGCTGTGGACCTGGGCACTTGTGGGCTAACACGCAAGGAAAACCCTGCTCTCGTACGAAGTCTCGCTTTCCAGGTCAGCATGGCTCTGGGAATTGGCTGAGAAAACACAGGCTGGTAGTCTAGGCCAGGAGCACCCAGTCCCAGGGGCTTTTGCTCTGCTCCCCAGGGGCTGTCAGGCTGCCTTGACATTATCTGTGGCCCCTGCCCTGCACCAGCAGTCCAGGTTGGGCTTGCACTGCCAGAGACAATGCTGGACACCACATGGGACATTCCTGCAGAAGTGAGATCTCCATGAACTAGGGCAGGTGGGACCCAGATCTGGAGGCTTACTGACAGACTGGAGGAACTGGGAGTCCTCCCTATGTCTCAATTTCTTCATTTGTCAACATGGTGGCAGTGATGGTGAGGAGGGGCGGACTGTGGTACCTCAGGCCAGGTGTCACTGTCCCTCTGAGTCTCACTCCCTTATCTCTTGGATGAGGTGCCATGCAGATGATCCCACAGGCCTTGCTTAGCTCCAAACAACTCCACACTTGGATGGGCTGAGTGAGCAGAATGACTGGAATGCAAATCCCACTGCCAAGGAGGGTCAAAAAGTCTTTCATGGGACCCTGGCATGGACCACAAAGAGAGACATGAAAGAGGCTCCAGGGCCCCTGACTGAGGGTAGGCTTAGGAGGCAGCTAGTCAGAGCGAGAACACTATCAGCCCACAGCCTGGGCTGGCCTGTTACTATTGGACACGACACTGCTTCTCCCAGGAGTGCCACCAACCCATTCTTCCCTTCAGCCATTCCTTCAGCAAGCACGTGTCAAGCATCTGCTGTGTTTCTGCTAGGCGTGTTATTACATTCATTATCTCTGGTCCTTACCACAATCCTGAAAGGTAGGAATGGTTATATCCATTTTATAGATGGGAAAACTGAGGCTAAAGCAGTGCGGGGAATCACCCAAGACCATTCAGCTGGGAAGAGACGTTAATCTGCCTCCTGATCCCATGCTCTTCTCCATCATGACTCCTCGAGCCTCAATTTTTAAAAATCTGTAAGTAGGATAGATAATTATACGAGCTCTTGAAAAGATTGTTGTGAGGGATCAAAGGAGACCACATGTGTGCAAATCAGACAATATGGGGCTCTATAACATCTTCTTTTCCCCTAGACTCAGGTCTCTGACCAGAGCCTGATGGGAGGGCCCTGATTTGTGGCACCTTACCTCTCCCCATCCCACTGGCTTCCCCTTCTCCCCAGAATCTTTGATTCTTGGAAGACGCAAACTTTCTGGCCCTGCCCCTTTGGACGTGAACCCAGCCTGCTGCAGGCTTCCTCCTTGGCATCTTCTGGCTTTCTGGGGGGGG